GTATTGAATACCTAATAATTAGAAATTCAAAACACCATCACACATTATTTTCGACGCAACTCCACTTCAGATGGTTTATTAGTTTCTATGTGACTAGAGAGTGGAGTGTTTTGCCACAAAAGACAATGTAGTTTTTTTTATTTTTAAATTTCTGTCACTCTAAAAGCCTCATGAGGAGTAACAGACCTTATGCAAAAGCACCTAAAATAGGTTTGCATTAGGGAGCTCAATCTATGCTGACTTTTTCCCTCTACACCAAGGGGAACAAAAGCTGTCCTGTAAAATGCTGAAGAAGAGAAATGACCATATTTGAAGTGTTACTGCATCTTTAATTTACATTTTTTGTTCATTTGCATGTTTAAACATCTCAAACTTCCCATACTGAGCTATGTAATACCCATGAAGGTTTGTTCTATGTTATAGTTTTCCATGCTTACTATTTTGTAATACACCTTAGTGCATGTTTAACACATTAATGTTAAACCTGCTTTAGATCCCAGCTAATATTCCTTTTGATGTGATAATATTTGCCTCTTTTTATCTTTGAGCACCTGCCCCTTTAGTTGTCTCTGTATGGCCCTGTTCCTGAGAAAGTATGGAAATGCAAATCATTCTGAGTGGCAGCTCTGTTTTCTGGTTTATTTAACGCCTAGTATCTGTGTTAAGCCCTTAAAAAACATGCCCTAAGCAAATGGCTCCACACAGGCCCCATTCATCAAAGCTTTTCTGCAGCTGTTTGGAAAGAGAAAAATGTATTTGTTCATAAGATTTTTTCATGAGAAGAACTGATAGTGCTGTGAAGAGGTACAGCCTCTTCTTTCTTTTTAGTGAATAGGGTGGCTCTACCCTGTTCACTAAAAAGAAAGCTCCCCTGTGAGGTGCAAGTGGAGCAGTCTCAGTTAAGGTTCTTGCTCAGGGCCCCAGATTGGCAGTCTGTTGGAATTAGTGGGACTTGAACTCAGAACCTCCAAGACCCAAGCGCAATACTCTAACCGTTAGACCAAATTTTCCCTAAAGAAAATTAAAATTTAAATCAAGTATTGTAAAAAAAAAAAAAAAATGTCATTCGGTAAAGCAACACAAAAAAAACCCTGCTCCTGTTATGTTGCAGGTCAAGAAAAAAACGACTGTTTATATATACAGCTATTTTTTTTTCTGCTTTTTTTATGAAGCCTTTTCTACTTTCCTTAATAAGTATAACTAATATTTAAAAGAAAAATATTTTATAGTAACTGACATATTGAAGTCATTTCAATAATTTTTAGGCCTAAATCAGAGGCAACCATCAGACAATTTAATAATTTAACAAAGGGCTTTTTTACTGAGTTGGTGTAGACGCCGTAGACAGGAACAATCTCTAAAGTAGTCTGGTTACATTGTCTCTGTAAAATGTCTTGAGATGACGTGTTGTGAAATGGCGCTAAATAAATATGTGTTATATGAAAATCTGATGAGGATAACCCTAGGGTTTTGCATAACTTTCTTAATTGTATAATTGTCTTTATAGAATTTTTAGTAGAGGTTTTACAATAGACTCCAAAACCGATTCTGTATTCTTTATTATCTTTTTCAGCTTTTTTAATCAATCATTCTGCAACACGATGCTGTAGAAAGAAATGGGAAGAGATCATACTCTTCACAACAGAATTACATAAGATATGGTAGCACATTCGCACAAAGTGATGTCAAGATATGTAGTGGTTGTACATTTTCTTTACTTTCCTTTTTTTCTGAAAATGCAAAACAGCATCCATAAATTAGACATGTGTCAGACTATGGCTGCTATTTTACAACTGAGTTTACCTTCTCCAACACAGAAACTTCATGTCTCAAACATTCAGTGCCTTTTGGTAATTTTTTCATTACTCTGGCTTACCTGAAAATGCAAACAAAATCCATAAATCCGATGTGTGTAACACTATGGCTCCCATGTACAACTGAGTATACATTCTCCAACACAGAAACTGCTACCTGCTAACCGGATCCCTTTCTAAACTCATTTCACTCTCAGCCAGAATAACTGCCAACAAATGGATGTTCAGCTTAACATGGACAATGAAATACAGTGCTTTTTAATAACAAAAAAAAAATATATATATATATTTCTGGGAAAGAGAATGCAATCCTATTTTCCCTTGATCTAAAGTCTCCAGTAACTGGTCCCGCATAATATCCAGCAACTTGCTGCAAACACTGGAACTAAGCTTCCTAAAAAAGCAGTCTGTTCTGCCCCTTGGTTTAGACAGCTTAAGAGTTGTACTTGCTGGTAGTGGCTAGGGTTAGGAAAAGGGTCTTGATGAGGCCGAACAAGTGAATGGAAATTATTACAAATCCCAACAAGGACAACCAAACAGAACATAGGTGTCTGTTAATGTGTTTTGTTTTTGCCTTAAGGAAAAAGGTAGAAGAAGTGGTGCCAGCAATGTAAACCATCTGATATCAAGTAGAGCATATTGTGTTACATACATAAATAATTTGCACAAAGCACACTTTGGTGAACTCTGCCTTATGCCCTATCTATCTACAGAACATTTGCATCTGCATTTACTTCCCAAACACAAGATGTCATTTAGATGTTGTTTTTAGGCTAAATTTGGTTGGTTCGTCGCGGTCTTGATTAAGTTTAGTTTGGTCTGATGTTATCCCAATTTGGTCCAATAATAGCCCAAATAGCAAAAACACAGGAACTTCAGATCCTTGTTCCTGCGACCTGTTGCAGCATATTCATTCACACACACAGCTCTGGCTGATATGGTCGCTAAGCGAGCAATAAACACTCCCACTACTTGCAGCTCACATAACCCACAGTGATTATTATTATTGGACTGGAACGCAGCAGTGAGTTTGTTACAATACCTTATTAGTGAATAATCAGTCATGGTGACTGATTATATAGTTTCATATCCAATAAAAATCCAATCAGGACTCCTCTGTCGTTAGATTCAAAATAAAGTATGTTAAATGTCAGCATGGAGCACACTTGCTTACAGATGTTCAGCTTAAGGTGACAGTTTCCACATCACTGCAAAATCCTCCATCAGAGCCTCCCTCATTCATATCCTAAATGCTCTTCACATTTTCTCTATTATGTGATTTTCTTTTTTGCTTTTCATTTTAAATTTTCATTTTTGAATTTAACTTCACAGTTTTCACACTCTTCACACAGTTGGAGAACATCTAGTGGATTCTAAATGTTGGTGCTATTGTGTGTCAGAGATAGTTAGGGATGCCAAATCCAATCCGAACATGATGACTTGATGAGAAGAATGAAGTCTGGTGTGTTATTGTTTGGTTGGAAAGAAAACCTGCAGCCACACGACGCTTTCTGGAACCACTTTTACTCCCCCACGCTACCGGTATTGAACAAGGTATTAATGGGGGAACGTGTAAGAGATGCCATGTATGGCAAGACAATGGGTGTAAATTATGATACTGTCACACTTAAAGCTTGGCAGCCCTGATTACTATACTGTATTTCCTGCCCTCTATCTGCTATGCCTCATCATATAAATTCAATTCAATTCAGTTC